AAATGAACATACTAGAATTCTAAATGAGAAGAAATAACAGATGAATAGGGAGAAAAGGGGGAAAGAAGTAAATGGCCTAGTCTGCATTTAATCTGAATAAAAAGCAAAATGGAAAATTCATTCATACACCCAATACATTTTACTGAACACCTATGATTTTCCAGATACTGTTTGGGTGCTGGGAATGAGTGGGGTGAACACATAAGGGGTGAATAAGCTTCTCGTTTCCATGGGCCTTACATTCTAGTGGGAGAAGAGGTAGAAATTGACAAGGCTATGAAGACACAGATTGGGATGAGGGATGACACATGACTCTGGAACTATTTTATACAGGGTCAGTGGGGTGCTGGGGCCAGTTCATATGCCTCCGGAGAACCAACTATATGCATCTCTTGTAACTCCATTATGCTATAAACCTTCTATCAGAGCCTGTTGTTAAAGTTTAGCAGCATTCCACTGGATGAGGAGGCTCCATGAAGAGACACTAGGAGAGAGGTCAATCTTGTTGACCATCTTGGGGGACAAAAACAGCAAGCCCAGAGACCCTGAAGAAGAATTCACCAGAAAACCAAGAAAGACGAGGCACTGTGCTTTAAAATGAGAGCAGAATTAGTTTGTTACAGAGCTGTTATAATATAGACCCATTAGTCAAAATAAACACACAGCATCAAAACAAAATCCAAAAAGGCAGAAAGAACTATATCCAGTTGTATGTGGTTGTAATTCCCCCATTATGGTGAGGCGAAGGCTCTGGTGGTGGTGGTGTGGTTTTTCAACTGTGTCCTATTTATGTCTCCATTCTGTCTAAAGAAACATGAGGAGGGAGAGTGTCAGTTCCTGGGTAATTTTCAAAACCACAAAACTCACCTACAAAAATGTGAAAGCATGACCTATGATATTACCTGTTTGGGAAACCACAATCACACCATTTCAAACTTCTGGAGTCTGGGTTATTCATAGAATCCAGCATTTTACAAATGCAAAGGACCTGGAGAGGTGTATCCACTTATTTCTGGCATGAAGAAAATTAGGCCCAAAGAGGGTGCCTTGGTGGAGATGACAGCTGGCAGCCTTGTTCTGGAACCCAGGTCACCTGCATCACTTGATGCCATATCCTCAAAATCAAACAATAACCTAGGGCAGTGGTTCTCAGAATTGTGCCTATACCAGAGTAGCTTGTTAAAAACACCCCACAGGCCTCACTCTCCTGAGCAAACTCCCAAAGGAATCAGTAGGAATGGGGTAAGGCCCAGGAATTTGTATGTCTAACCAGTTCCCAGGTGACACCAACACCTACTTTGAGACTCACTGGCCCAGGATTTAGGAAGCATGGGTTTGGGAATCCAACGCGGCTCAGTTCCAGCTCTACTTCTGCCACTTGTATGACTCTTGGAAAAGCCACCCAAGCTCTCTGGACCTCAGTTTCTGATATCTGAGTCCAGTTCTGAGGAATAAAGGACAAAATGCCCATAAAGCACTGGCTTAGCCAAGTGTTTGACACCTTCTGAAGTGCTTACTAAATACTAGCTCTAGCTACATCCTATAGCATAATTGCCTTAATGACTTCTTTTCTTTTTCCACATATACTAAAAAAGTTAAAATTCAAAAGACAGTCAAGATTAAAGATTGACAAAAATGTGGAGCACCTGGAACATGGATAGCAGCTTTATTCATAACAGCTGAAAGTGACAAATAGTCTAAATGTCCATTGAGGAGCAATTATAAAAACAAACTGGTATATGTACACAATGGAATACTACTCAATGATAAAAAAGAACAATGATATAGCCATATGAAAGCTCCAAAATACTTTGTTGAGTGAAAAAAGCCATACACTGCATTATTTCATTTGCATGAATTTCAATAACACAGAACTCATCTATGGTGAAAGAAATGAAACAGCCTTTGCCTGTGGAGGAGGTGGGGGAAGTGGGGGGGGGGTTGAATGGAAAGGGAAATGAGGGAAATTTTGGGGGAGATGGAAATAGTCTTTATCTTGATTTGGGTGAAGATATCATAAGAACGTATATTTGTCAAAACTCATCAAACTATATACTTAAGATCTGCGCACTCTATTATTGGTAAATATACACTTAAAAAGTATGTGTGTATATATTTGCTTTATTATATGTTCAAAATAACATTTTATATAACATATGTACATATACAGCATGTGTGCATGTATATATCTATAAAACATTTATGCATATGTGCATATATAAAAATGTGCATATATACACACACACACATATATGCCCAGGCTTTGTGACAAAAGACTTTCTTCTCCATTTACAATGAACCAACTCCAACCTGGTAGACCCACTGAGCTTGATTATTTCACAATCCAGTCCTACTTCATAGAATACCATTTGCTATGTACTATTTTGGTCTGTTCATCTTTCCAGAGCTGCTATGAAATAGAAACAGCAAAATTTTCTCCCACAAGAAGACCGTGACATTTCCATACAGACGGCACCCAGAGTGACTGTCTCCCTGGGAGTGGCTAGGCTCAAGGTAGAGACAACACAGAAGTACCATTTACCTTTACTATGTACCAAGTATGAGCCTAATATGATTAAGACACAGTAAGGAAGACACAGTAAGAGAAATCCTGGCATATAATTTAAATCATATTCTCTATATGAAAGTGTGAGCAGAAGACTAGTGAAATGCTCTAATGACATCTTTGTGTAATGAAGACACTGGAAGAACGAAGTGTGCCTGTGTAATTATTACATGAAATAGGAGCTTTCACACTGTAGTAGGTTCCAGACCATTCGAGCATCTTTATTGTATCCCATTACAAGTATACTTACCCACACACACACGCTATGAACATTCCTCTGCAGTATACAAAGTGGTTCTGGATGAAAGGAAACAACCTGGAGACACTACAGTTTCAACCCAGACATGTCTGATTCCAAACATACTTGATTATCTGACCAACACTTCCTAAGTTCCGTGATGAGGCAGCCCTGGCTCCAGGTTTCCCAGATCTTTGATAACCTTGGATGGAGGAGGTTCAGCCACACACACACTACCTTGCACACTGAAAACAAGCCCCCATACAGGATGCATTAGCACCAGTAGGACCCCCACACTACATGGGTAGGAACCCCTGCCTGGCCTTCCTCCAGCCCTTTCTCCAAAATCCCCTTAACTGAGAGACTCTGTGCTGCACCCCATCAGATGCTTTGACACAGTATTTTCTCTACAGTTCTATCAAGTCCTAATAATCCAGATACTGGCATTCAATTCAGAATCCAGGTTCTTGATACTAACAGCTACTCTTAGAAATAAATAACTACTCAATTTCAATTACATATCAAAAATAGTTCACTATTAGTGAGCACTTACTAGTCATAATGGTAATAATCTCCCTTCGGTGAGAAGGAAGAGGAACCCAACTCTTGCTCATAGTAGTGAAAAACTACAAGGGACACATTTAGGAGGAAGGATTTGTTCATACTGGCAGAACACTGGGGGCTTCTTGGAAGACGCACCCAAGTGGAAGATGAGGACATAAATGGAAGGAGCTTTCCAAAGCTGTTATCCCCCCAGTTCCCAAAGCTAGCAGAAGGCCCCATTGCACCCTTTGCCCGGCTCCTCTGTCTCATCTGGAACAGGCCTGTTTCCCAGAAGGGACCAGCTCAGCCCAGCTCAGCCCAGCTCAGCCCAGCTCAGCCCAGCTCAGCCCAGCCGGGCCCAGCCCAGCCCTCCTTTCCTTTAACACATTCATCCAGCTGCTGCCTGCCCTTCCAGCCAGCAGGCACATATGGGTACTTTTCACCACGCTCAACTTTGCTAGCTCCTCTGGTGCTTTCGTGGGGGAGAACCTGCATCCTGGGGCTCAGTCCATAGGGGATCCAAGGAGAAGCAGCAGCCCTTCTCTGATGGACTGATAAAGGGATACCCCTTGCCTGCAACAGACAGATGTACGGCCCTCCGCACTACCAGCAGCCATGAAACAGGTCATCACTTCTCTGCTCACTACCCAGAGAGGAACCTGCTCCCAGTCCCTCCTCCCAAGTCAGCCCCTCCAGTCCCGGAGGGTCATTCCCCTGCCTCTTCCTCCTCAATGCTTAAAACTCTGCAGCAAGGGTGCGAACACTCACTTTTGGTACGTGTGACCTTGGGCAGGTAACTCAATCAATATCAGTCCCAGGCTCCGTATCTGTAATATGGGGTTTATAACAACAACTCATTCTTAGAATTCTTATGAATCAGAATAAGATAGGGCAAGGGACGCATTTTACATAAAGTCTGGCACAAAGCACGCTCACAGTGAATAGTATCGTTATCATCATCAACAATGAGGATGGTGGTGGCGGCCTCAAACTTGGGCTTGATTCCAGCAGAGAGAAATGTCCTTCCTCACCGCCCTCCCCCCGGCCCTACCTCCATCCACCACGCCTGGGGCCGGGCCACACGGGGGAGACACAGGCGTCACCCAGCTGTGAGGTGAACGTAGGATGTTAGGGTGGTTTAGGAGCCACAGGACGGTCATACGCTCACCAACCTGGAGGAGGGTTGCGTGTGAAGCTGATTTTCTGAGAGAGGAGGTTCACCCTCTCCTCTTTCATACCCTTTCTCCAAGTCTGGAACCACACAAGTGGCAAAGGAATGCAGCAGCAGCGTCGCGCCCCCAGGGAGCCGGGACGGCGTCCGCTTTGCCCCGGCCTCAGTTCCCCAGCGCTCCTCCCGGCGCGGGAGAAGCTGCGGGGCGCCTGGTGGCTGGGATAACAGGTTGGCACACCAGGCCGGGGAAAAGTCCGCCTGCTGCCCGGCGCAAACCCAACCCGGTCTTCCAACGCAGGTGGGCCGACCACGCACAGCCTCTGTTAAACTTTGTGGTGTCACCACGACAGGGCACACGGCCTCAACGTCGCCCCTACGCTGCGCTCGGAGGAGGAAAGCGAGAACCCGAGAAGAGGTGGGGGGCACTCTGCAGGCCGCTCCCCTCTTCTGAGGACGCCTCCCGGAGGCGCGCCTGCTCTTACCTTGTCTGACGGCTTTGAAGGTGACGGCCTCCTTGCAGCTGTCGATGACTCCCAGCACGTCGTAGCGGGGCAAGCCGGACACCCGGATGCCCTGCACCTCCAGCAGCAGCTCCCCTTCGCCCAGCCGGGGGCCCTCGCCGCCGCCGGGGAGCCCCGCCGCCTCGGCCGCCGCCCCCACATACGGAAACTCGCCGTTCTCCGCTCCCCCCAGCACCGTCACCCCCAGCTCGCCCTGGGGTCCCCGCTTCACCGTGCATTCGTGAACCTTGCTAGTCCAGTGGTTCTTCTTCTGAATCACTTTCGACATGGTGGGTTACGCTCCTCTCCCCACCACAGAAAAATGATAATAAAGTGAGAGACAGGTGCCCCCACAGCACAAGCCCCCAAGCCTCCTCTGGTTCATGGGGGGCACATCGCCCCCCCAGATAACGCAAAGGGAGAGAGAAACTTGGCAGCCTCGATCCTCTGCACACTCGCGCACTCAAGTCATCATAACACAAACTTTCTGGGCTTCCCCGCGAGCCGTGCACAGGCGCCCGCGAGCTTTGTTTGCATTCCGGTGCTCCTCAGCCCACGTTCCAGCGCTCCACCGTGCTCCGGGCCAGAGTCCACTGTGCGCCGTTTGGGCTATTTTCTTTTTTTTTTTCCTCCCTTCCTTCCTTTCTTGCCTCAGAAATGCGGTGTCTCCTCTTTGCCTCCCGCCTGGCTCGCCTCTCCTCGCTGGCGGGTTGTTCCTGAGGGCGAGGGAAGCCCTCGCAGCCAGTTGCTGGGAGCCCTGGAGACGCGGTTGCGGAGCGGGGGCTGGGGGGACAGGAGGGAAGTGCCTGCGGCCCCTTTAAGCAGATACAAAGGCTCGGCTTGTTTTGTTAGAGTTCATTCTATTCCGCGCCGCGGAGCTCAGCGGCCGGCGAAAGGAGACGCGCGCGCATGCGCCCAGCGCCCGCCAGCCGGCCGGCCCGCCCCACCTCGCCTTCCCGAAGGGAGAGATTCCAAAGTGCTTCCCGTTGGGTCCTAAAACCGATTCGCTACAATAAGGCAACCTACCGGTCTTCAACTGCCTCTTATTCTTTCTTTTCTTTAAGTGCCCTCGGCTCAGCACTTCCCTTTGAGGGTAGGGGGTTGCCCACGTGTTTTACTCCACTGTGTGCAACTTTTGAAACAGGGGCAGTCTGGCTTTGCCATTTTAAACCATTTCAAACAGGTGGGGGTTGGGGAGGCTCACACACTCACCCTGATGCTCACACTCACGCACACACGCACGCACTCACGCCGGCCTAAGCTTCCTAACCGCCCTCGGCCAGTGGCTGGCGACGCTGTCGGTCACCCAGCCCGGCAAGTCCGCCCTCACCTGCACCTCCCGCCGCACTTCCCTCTATCCCAGAGCGGGACCTGAGTCGAGAGCCTGCTCCCCGCCTGCACTGCGCCAGCGGGTTCGGGTCCTGCAGCGGGTTCTGCCAGTGTCTCCGCCACCTGGGGAGGTGGGGGGGGGCAGTGGGTGCTGGGAGTCCCTTGGGACTGTCTCCCCCGAATCTGAGATTCCTGCGAACTTCACATGCTCCCACATATACATATACCTGCACCTTAAACTTTGGGGAAATTTTTTAAGTCGCGAGAAAAACTATAGGCGAGGGACAGAAGCCAAAGGCTAGAGGGGGTTCGGTCTTCTAGCTTAAAAGGGGGCTAGCTTTTAACTGCCCCTTCAGCAAAAAAACTTCTGGAGCCAGTCATCTGTCCAGGACTCGAGTTCCTGGGGGAGACGGGAAACCTTCGGTCCCGCCCCGGGGCGAAGAGAGAAGTTAGTTTACCCCCGAGACTGGGATCTGCACCCGAGTTCTGGCGCCCGCGGGGGCGTGGGAGCGGTAGCCACCTCTCGGAATTTGCAGTCCGCGGGTCGGTGCCACCCCCTGGCGCCGCCCCGGGGCGGTAGTAGAGCGAGAGCGTCTGTCCGGCTAGGTTTCGGAGCCCGCTCGGGGGATGCCAACAGAAGGAATACCTTGTGCCCGGGAAGGCTGTCCTCCCCTGAACACTCCCCAGATCGGCCCAGGGAGCACTCTTCTCAGCAATTTTTTTCCTCAGCGATTTATAACTTGTTTGTTCATCTTTAGTCGTAGGAGACATTCCGAGTGCTAAATAAGGGAGGTAAATGGAAAGGACTCAGAGAGGGTAGGACGCCCCAGACGTCTGAGCTGAGAGCTGGCCTCTGGGATTTGTATACCCACTGCTGCAAACATTCTGCGGCCTTGAGCAAGCTCTGTGACCCCTCCGGGCCTTCACTTCTCCCCTGTTAAGTGAGTATAACAATGCTTCGCAAGGTTCTTGGGAGTTTTACACGGGGAACACTTGTAAATAAGAATTTACAAAGTAGCATAAATAGAAACATATTACTAGTAGCAGTATTTGGAAATAGAATTAGGAAATCATTTTGGAGTGTCAAGTTTGATGATAATATCTCTCCCTTCAGAAAGCTTAAAACATGTAGGCATACATTTAAATATATTTTTAAAGCACTGTTTGTAGGGTGCTATTCTAGGATGATAAAAATAGAAGCATGTTGATCCTTCTCTGTTGGGATATCCAGAACTGGAAATTGCATTGCTTTGTACTATCTGTGAAAGAATGAAGTGGCCAATTTTCCTTGATTCTTGGTGAGGGAAACTTCATCTCCAGCCCCTACTCTCAGAAGTCATTGGTTTGTCTTACACTTGACTAGATTAAAATGAGTGGAAGCTTCACAGAATTCATTCCAGAGCCCAGACACATATCCAGCCAGTTAGAATATCAGGGATGGGCTCTGCAATCTGGACAGTTAAGGTTCCTCTTACATGGTACTGGTACACAATGTCCAGGACCACGTCTTGGTTCCTGAGCATTCCTTATGTCACAGACCCTTCTGCAAAATAAACCTGTGGTCAACCTCTCCCTCTAGAGTGCCAGCCCCAGCAGGGCAGGGAACTTTGGCAGTTTGGTTTATTGATGTTCCCAGTTCCTAGACTGATGCCTTGTACCTAGTGAGTGCTCAAGTATTTGTTGAATGGATCTTCCACCAAAATGCCCGTTTTTGCATGTCACCTTAGAGTCAGAGATTCCCCTAAAAATCACTAGTAAACTTGGCCTTGTGTGTTTCTCCACACAGTCTGATCACTTGCCAAGAACCGCCCCCCCCCACCTGCCTAGAATCAGTGGTCCCCAGCCTCCCAATCTGATTCCCACTCCCGTCAGAAGGAGTCAAAGGATGGGTGAGATCAAATGTTTTGTAGTTTCTCCCACTTCAGCAGTACCGTCTGCTGACTCTAGGACTCCAGGTATCCCCTGCTGAAAGGGCAAAAAAAAAAAAAGATTTAACAAACTTCCAATTTTAGATGTGGAATAACCCCAGGAAAAGAAGAGATACCTGAAGAGGGCAGGATGGAGAGAGGTATAGAGACCCGTATTATAATCCCAGAAACAAAAAAGTAGTCATTTGAACCTGCAAAGCAGCTAAAACTGCCAATTTTCAGGCACTAAACTTACAATATTCTCAAGGTCTTTGCTCCTCCTCCGACCCTTTTTGTCTAGTCTGTTTTGCCTGGTCCAGGTCTTGTATCCCAGAATGGAAGAGGAATTCAGGACAGAAATAATATCTACCCTACCCAACCTTTGAATACTCAGCACGTAAACCGCATGGGTTTGCACGATACATATTTACTGAATGATTCTTTGAATGCATGGATGAAATGTGACATTAAACTTATAATATGTGACCTTTGCCATAAAGCCTTTAGATTTGGTGACTAGAACCAAAGACTGTATAGCCTGTTACCTAGAAAGAGCTGACAGTTATGTCATCTTCAAATAGATTTTTCATGAATATATGTAAAATGGGACCTCAGTGTTCTGACTTTTCTTACTTAGGCTATGACTAGCAATGCATTCCAGTGGGAAAAACAATGCCATAAAGTGCATAACTTTGAGGCTTGCTGTGTGTGCCAGGACAGTTGCATGCGTTATTTTATTTAATCATCACTACAACCATGTGAGGTAGGTATGCCCTTGATTTTACAATGGAGGAAAGTGGAGCTAGGAAAGAAGAAACTTGCTCAGGGGCTTAGAAGTTATAAAGGGAGGGTGTGAACCCAGAGATACCACCAAGGCCCATACTCAGAACCGTCCTGTCAGAGTATAGGATGTGACCATCTGCCATTTAGCATATTTGAGTAACAGCATTTTTTTGGCTTCTGAACCTGCCACATAGTGTGTGCACACTAATAAAGTCACCCTCCTATCTCGTCCTTTTAATCTGAAGGAACACAGTATTCCACTGTGGAATTCAATCTTCTGTTGCCCATCTGCAGGCTCTGAAGACTGAATAATTTAATGGAATGTAAAGAGGATTAATTTGCAAACATTTCTAAAGTGTTTGGAGATCTGTGGATGCAGGTGATGTGCCAAATACTGCTATTGCAGAAGCATTTCAATAATGAGCTCTTAATAAACACAGTGGATTCAGATGAGATGTCAACTATAACACAATAAGCTCTGCACAAAGTAAGACCTTATTTTTTTGTAGCTTAAGGAAATAAAAAATATCCCACAAACAAAATGTTTATTTCTTTTCTTTCTCCAAAATACATTTCTTCCCAAAGTGTTCCAGTTGTGATTAAAGAAATTCATAATTGCAGTCGACAGTGGTATTTTACCTCATTTTTCTGAAATTGCAAGGAGAGGAAATAAGTCAACTGTAGAATAAAGGAACACATACAAATTGGTTAGCCTTTAACTTTCAAAGAATGCATCAAGAGGCATGTATTATAGATATCAACCTAAATAGTTTGTATGCAATAAGGTAACTGACTCCGAACTGGTGATTTAGAGCCAACTAACAGAGGAGATTGAAAGCATTAGCCCAAATAGAAGGTAAATATCAGTCAGGGCCATTTTCCTAGTCATCTCCTCACAGCACTTCCATGATTCACCTGATAACTTGTCCTCTTTCTCACATGGAGAGACAGATGGGTGGTTTTCTCCGACCATAGTACTTTCTCTTCCCTTTAGTACTTTCAGCCAGGCAAAAATAAGTAAAATGCTAATTCTTGTAAACTTTCACAACATCACATGTGCACTATTATTTTAATACCCCAGAGAAGTAACTCCAGGAAGAGAGTTTAATCCTGGCTAATGTTCTCATTGACTTCCTTGGGGAAAAATGCATAGTGGTAACTGGAAGATTTGAAATTCAATGCTGGTTCTATGGAACCAAGAGAAACCCAAGAATTTATCATCAGAATCTTTCCTAAAATTTCCTAAGTGATTCAGCTGTATAAAACACTTAAGTGTTCCAACTTAGCATACATCCTTCATAACTCCACTGAAAATATATCTGATAATATTAATTTCCTTGTAAAAAGTATTTGCATTTTTTAAAAATTTTTTAGTAAGGTATCATTGATATACACTCTTATGAAGGTTTCACATGAAAAAACAATGTGGTTAATGCATTTATCCATATTATCAAGACCACACCAAATACCCTAATAGTATTTGCAGTTTCTTAATAGACATTTGTATCTCTTTTATTCTATTTCCCACCACATCTATGAAAATAATTTGAACACGATAGATGTTTGAATAATACAGGATTTCATTATTGAAGGTATTCACTCTCTATATTTCTTCTTCCTTATTATGCATCTTTAACAATTTATTGCACTAAAACAGAACTGAATGACAGAGGAGGGAAATACACATTGAAAACAAGGGTAGAATGTCCATATTTAAAAAATACCCTCATAATATGAGTTTGTTTAAAACAATTTAAAAATAGATAAGTAAAAAGGCAGCATTAAATTAAGTCATTCAAAAGTCTATTACGAAAAGACAACTACTTTTTACATTTGGGTGTCTTTCTTCCCAGACTTTGGTCAATTCAAAAACACAACACACACACACACACACACACACACACAC